GGCTTTATAAGTGACGACTAGCGCCTTGAAGCGTATCCGGAGACCAATAGGCAGCCAGTGCAGCTCGCGGAGGATAGGTGTTACGTGGGTGAACGTAAGAGGGCTCCATGTGCCACAGGTTCCCCATCACGGCTATAGCACTTTTTACAGCCCTCTGTAAGTACCTATTGCTCCCAAAATTCTGGCTCCTCACTTTACCGACCTTGGAAGGATGGAAGGCTAAGTCAACTTTGAGCCTTTCAGGATCGAACTCCTGGCTGGGGTCAGAGTTTGCCTGAAATATGGTGTACTGTATTCTAACCACTGCACCACCACTGCTCAGTTTATGGCTATTCTAATTAGAAGTATAACTCCTCACTGTGGTTTTCAAATTAAACAAACCAAAAATAATAATAATCATGAAATCCAATAGTGTAGTTCTATGTGAAGTATGACTTGCCGTGCTGCCCTATGTTTTTCCCATGACTTGCTTGCAACTATGATGCATTGACCTGCAAAGGCTGTGTGAGAAAGCCAGTGTTCACCTTTACTGTATGTTTGCAGTAAAGACAAGCAGTGCAAAGCTTCAGTTCCATCCCAGCATATACTGTATCCTACGGGTTTCCTAAGTGGCTTGGAATGTATACAAAATGGTCCAATGCTGTTATGATCGCAAGAATAGCCCAAGATGAAACAAATGCTGTTATGCTTAGATTTTACTTGCTTTCAGCTCCACAGGTACATATTACTCCAGTGCCTGAGGCCAGGCGACTTCGAGCCCTTCCTCCTGGGATGCCTCTGCTTCTGGAATGTGAGCTTTCCATGCCTGATGCCCCTGTCTGCTGGCTCAAAGATGGGAATCCTATAGCTTTGAATAATGGTGCTTGTGTCCAGTCAGAAGGCTACATTCATAAGCTGTTGATTCCCTCTGTCTGCTCTCTGGACTCTGGGACATATATATGTGATGCCAAAGATGATGCCATCAGCTTCACTGTGACTGTGGAAGGTAAGTTGAAAGAAACAAAACTCTTGATTTAAGCAGGGCGGTTTATAGTGTAAAGGTGCATGTCCTTTTATAGAGTTTAGTGCCAAAGATATGGAGCTTGAAGCTCCATAAGCATTTTGAATATAGCTGACTTCAAAGAAAAAACTAAGTCCAGTTGCCTCCTAAAAAAAGCACCTTCAGAATAGCTGATCCCACATAAAATAATATCCAATTCTTCTGTAATTTGACTATTAGCAGGGTTTAGCCTGTAATCATATCTTTTCTTTCCAAATGTGGAAATTCAGTAATGATTCCGAGCTTGGTAACAATTGGTCCCTTCACCCTATTTCTCCCCTCCACAGAACCTCCTGTGAAGGTTGTTCAGTCCAATTCCAAAGAGGCTCACAACTACAATGTTGCGGATCGTGTGGTGCTGTCCTGTGAGTTATCCCACCCTGATGTCACTGTGCGTTGGTACAAGGATGGAGAAACTCTGAAAGATAGCAAGGACCTCCTGATGGAGAACGTGGGACCTCACCATCACTTGACCATTTCCTCAGCCAGAGTGCAGGATACTGGGGAATTTGTATGTGACATTGGTGGAGAATCTGTCATTTTCAACATTATTGTTGCAGGTCAGTAGCCTCTCCAGATGACACAGATCACTGTCTAATTTTATCCTAATTGCACAATTGCTTAAAAGTTATACAAAAGAATTCTACAAAAGTGGTTACTGCTCGGTCCAAATTCTGTTATTTGTAAGCTTGTGATACTAAGTATTTCTCAAGTATTTCTAGAGTAGAATGCATTTTAACAAAGGCATGGAAAACAGAAAATATTTGCTGTATGTTTTGACTTCAAGTTTCTGATTAAAAACTTGCCTACAAAATCTATGGGAAAATGAAATAACTTGCTTTTGCAATGCTGTAAGCAAGGAGTGATTTCTAAACTCAGGAGAATTTTTGTGCCTCTAGACCTTAGCAACCTGGAGTCTAGTGCGCACTTTAGGATTTTTCAAATCTGAAACATTGAGCTGTTTTTGAAATGGCCTAATGCAATTTTATTGCAAATGTGAGATTTGAAAGAATCTTTTTCTACCTCTTCTTTCTAATGGAAATGGTGAGTCTTAACCTGTGAGGGGCAGAAAATGGAAACCTCATCATCCATATTGTTGTTACAAATGCTTAGCATGAACTCAAGTGAAGGACCCATGACTACCTGAAAGTCTTCCTGTAAAGCCTGGTTACTTTGTTCCCTTCAGGTGGAAGCAGGTACTGTACCACCTCTTAATCAAAGACAAAAACTCCTGCAGGCAAAACCAAGAGCAAGTTGGGACCAAGCACTCTCTGAGTGTATTTTTTTTTAAAGCATTTGACCAACTTCATCAAGGGATCAGAAAGCCTTTCCTATGCCTTCTGATTCAATTTCTTTTTATGTTGTGATACAAGAGCCAGGGGATATAATTTTGAAACAGAGATAGGTTGCTAATTTTTTTTACTACCAGTTTGGGTGTGCTCCCGTGCGTGCTACACTTCTGCGCATGTGCAGAAGCATCCGGGCAGATGGGCGGAGCCTCCTGCCGCCGCTACTACTGGTTCAGCCAATTCGGGCCGAACCGGCAGCAATCCATCTCTGTTTTGAACCCAATGGTTAATTTACTGCAAAAGTGTTCTCTTGCTTCAGGAAAGTTTTTCTTTGGTCTTTCCTCACCATAGCCACACTCTTAACAGCACACTTTTACTGCCTTATTCTGATGAGACTGTGTTCGACTTATCCCCAGCCTTTGAGTGTGGACGCTCACTCCCTGCCCTTAGTAATGTTAGTGTTAAAAACGAATGTTTCCCCTTCTGTCCGAAAGACTGACAGAACAGAAGCAGCTTAAGGATGCAATGCAAATAGGCGCGTAGCAAATTTCCATGTGCAGATAAAATGGTGTTGTAAGAAGGTACCACAATCTTCCCAGCACATTTCTTTGCTCCACAGAAACTCCTGTCCATATTATGCACTGCAGCCCTGAGGAAGCTCACACCTACCTGGTCTCAGAGCGTGTGGTACTGGCCTGTGAGCTGTCCCGTCCTAACGCCCCTGTGTGCTGGTACAAGGATGGGGAAAAGGTGGAGGAAAGCCAGGACCTCCTGCTGGAGAACGAGGGTCCACACTGCCGGCTGATCCTTGTCTCTGCCCACATCCAGGATACAGGAGAGTTTGTGTGTGATGCAGGTGGTGACTCTGCCTTCTTCAACATCACTATCACAGGTTAGAAATAGCCCTTCTAGGCATGCCTTATTTATGTAGAATCATTTTTTTCTTTTTCAACTCTCTTCATTTGGACTCAAGGTGCAGTACATGACGCTCCTAAACCAGCCTTTCCCAACCTGCAGATGGATTAGGCCTGCACTCCCCAGAAAACTCAGAATTTCTCATATTGGGAAAAGCTGGGATATCTATTCTAAGAAATCATTCTGCCAACTGCTGGGCAGGCAGCCCAGTTCTGTTTTGCTTTGGTAAAGAGAAATTTTTGGTTGTTTATTTGCCTCTCACGGGAGAGGTGGGATATACTTTTGTTTATTTTATGTTACTTCTAACACCACTATTTCTGGGTTTCTAATACTTGGAGGCACTTTTGATTTGTTATACCTCAGAAAGTTGGTTTTTACTCAATAGAATTGTGGTGACCTCAAGCACAGAGATGAAGTTCAAGAAGGAATCATACAAGCAGTCCCAGGAAATCTCTGGAAGTGGATCTTTCACACTGTGCTATAAAGATGGTTTGGTCCAGCATAGAGAACTCTTCTAATTAATGACCTTCCTATTATGAAAAAAATGGGTCCAGTATTTAAGGCATCAGTCTAGAAACCAGGAGACTGTGAGTTCTAATCTTGCCTTAGGTTTGAAAGCAGGTTGGGTGCCTGGCCTAGTCACTCTCTTTCAGCCTAACCCACCTCACAGGGTGGTTGTTGTAGGGAAAAGAGGAAGAGGAAGGAGTATTATATATGTTTAAAAAGAACAATAATGGTGGGATGAAAATAAATAAAACAGCGGAAGCCACATTATGCTGAGATATATTTTTGTTGTAGTCTATCTAGTGCAGTGATGGTGAACCTTTTGGACTTGATATGTCAAAATTCAAAAGAATGTCTACATTGACCTCCTGGTGTGTCTTAACACATAGACACCACAGATAGGGTGTGTAAGTGTAAGACAAAGGAGGCCTCTCCAGATCTTCTCTCCTCTGGATTCTTGTCTCCAAGAGCCTCTGAACAGACTCTTTGGAAATCATGGAAGAAGGCCCTGATCCCACAGGAGCTCTGGAGCCTCTGAAAATCAAGGGAGAATGCTCACCTGATTTTTAGAGGCCTCAGGGGCTGTGTGAGAGACTTTTCTCCTGTGACTTTCAGTGGGGCTGGAGGCCTGGCATGTCACCAAAAACGACATGGTGTACCATAGGTTTGCCATCACCTTTCTAATGCAATATATTTTAACCAACTTTGCAACTCTTCATAGACCTTCATACAGCCCTAACTAAAGATATCAGGGTTTAAAACAGAAGTCTGCCAGACAAAATAGGTTTATTGCTACTGAATTATGATCTTTTCCTCACATTTGGTGTCCTTCCTGTTCCAGAGCCACCTGTACAGGTGGTGTGCTCCAATGCAGATGAGGCTCATACCTACTGGGCTTTAGAACAAGTAACTTTGGCCTGTGAGCTGTCCCGCCCTAATGCTCTCGTGCACTGGTATAAGGATGGGAAAGCAGTAGAAGAAACGGAGGGTCTGCGGCTGGAAAGCGAAGGGCCTCATCACCGCCTGATCATTGCCTCAGCCCAGGTGCAAGACACAGGAGAATTTGTATGTGATCTGGGAGGCGATTCTGTCTTTTTCACTGTAACTGTTTCAGGTCAGTATGATTTGTCTCTCCCCCACCCCCCCGCGCTCACTTGGGGATTTAAATTGTATTTTTCTTGACAAAGCCACAGCAGGTGATTACGCCCGGCTAAGCGTGGCTGACTCAAGTTGGGTTAGACATAGTTCAGATTTGGATGGGAAACCACAGGGAAATCCCGGGGTTTACTGAGGAGCTGCATAAACAACCCAAGTGAAGGGATTAACAAACCATTTCCACTCTGTTGCTAAGAAAGGAATCTGGGTGTGTCATGTGATCCTAAGGTGACCAGATTTTCAGATTGGAAAAGAGGGACACCCTTGACCGGGGGGGGG